GTTTCAGTACTGAATTCGCTTGTCACGCACAAAGGTTTCAGTACTGAATTCGCTTGTCACGCACAAAGGTTTCAGTACTAAATTAAATCAATTATTTTATCCCGTCACGAATCACTGAGCATTATGCACACTGAAATCTAGTTTTTCGCTGCCGTCAATCAAAAATAATCTGTCGTTACCTTTTATGTTCTTAACTGACGGCAGTGAAAAACCATTTTCACAACAAGCTTTTGAAATGTTTGAGTTCGCAGAATATCGAAAACCGCAGGAATTCAAGAAATATATTTTCCCCAGAACACTGGATATTACGTTACTGAGAAAACACTGGATATTGCGTTACTGAGAAAACACTGGATATTGCGTTACTGAGAAAGCACTGGATATTGCGTTACTGAGACAAACACTGGATATTGCGTTACTAAGAAAACACTGGATATTGCGTTACTGAGAGCCTCAGTTTGGAAAGTTAGACCCCCTCCCTCCCAACACACTTAAAACTATGTCCCACTTTCCATGAGATATCCTGCAAAAGGGGAGTTAACGTACTAAGAAAAGGTTTAATCCGGTTTAAAGAGAATCGAGGGTCATAATTTTTACTTTAAAAGTAGGCTATTAATAATATGCTGCCAAATATAGGGCTTCCCTCGAACGTAGCACAAACACTACACTTAGTACTCTGTCAGTACAACATATTTTCTTAACATGTCAAAGATATTTTACTCAATGTTTTCTTGGCCATCGCCGTCGACAACTTAGCAGATGCAGAAAGTCTAACAGAAATGGAGAATGAAAAGATGAAGAAGAAAGAAGAAGCAAAAGCGAAAGAGTGGGAAAGTTTACGAGACGAAGAGTCGAGAAGTGGAGAAACTGGTTCACCGGTTCGAGGGTAGGTACATCAGTGTAGGAGCACATCAGTAGAATGATAAATAAGTGTCTAGTCGTTCTAGCGCTTTCACACTAATTGGGGACACTTTTCGTTCACACGCACGACCACTACATTTAATATTCTATGCACACAACGCTCAACTCACATGTTGATTTTTACGGAGGGAGGAAACCGGAGAACCCGGAGAAAACCCTCGTAGCATAGGAGAGAACAACACATTTAACTCAATTCACATATGGTGTCCGCAGGGCTCGAACCAGCGAACCAAAATGTTGGACTCACAGCGGTGAATGACGACGCGTTAGCCGCGAACGCCACCCATGCTACCCTTAGAGACCTTTAGCATCTGGTTTACTGCTAACCGCTAAGCTCTAACTGCTAGATATCAGGCCCAGGAAAACGGAGAAACACACCAGAGAAAAACTCGGCACTAATGAAATTCAATATGCCAGTCCTTCCAGCAACAACTTCCTTATGAAGCCTTGCTGAATGTCATAAGTTTGAAGGGAAACGCCCGACGTCGAACTGCCGTTCCAGTGGTTCTCTCGCTCCACGTCTTCTTGGTTGTCTTTGTCGTTGTTCACTCGCGATAAAGAAACCTACGAGAGCGAGAGAGCCTCTGGAAGGACCGGGGTAAGGTTGCAGTCCCTCACTGGCAATCATGCTCGTCCAGCTTTGTTTTAGTATGACTGAAAAGCTTAGTGCCGTACGAGTTTCTTTCCGCTACCATGATGTAGAATTTTGATTGGCGGATTTTTTTCTCTCGGGCAATATGATTGGTCTAGCAGTACCGTGACCTTGGCGGTGACCCTGTCCGTACCATGTTCGTGTCGTGTTTCTGATTGGATGGACAGTAAAATGTTTGCGCAATGTGATTGGTCTGACGTATACCTTGCCGTGTCATGATCGTGTTCGTGCCGCTAGCTTTTCATGGTCATACGAAATTTGCTCTAAGACACCCACAAGGGCGGATCCAACCAAAATTTTAGGGGGGGCTAATTGAGTTTCTTCCGTCAACACCACGGAAAACAAAAAAAGCATCTAATTTTTCAGTTTTATTTTGGCTTTTTTTTTCCCTGCTGAAAGGGGGCTTCAGCCCCCTGTGCCCCCACCCCCCTCCCCCCCTGGATCCGCCTTTGACCCATGGATATTCACTTGCTATTTTTTATGTGCTTTGCTCAGGTCAGTAGTAAGAACCTCTCAAGAACTTCATTCCAATGGGAACAGTATACCCAAGGTAAGACCGCCTATTTTAGTTACATTATACTTCCCAACGATTGTTATCTCCGTCTACACAACTTTTTAGGAAGGCTTATTTTTGAACACGTATTTTGTTTCATTTGTATTTCGTAATCTTAATAACTTTTTAGCTCTGGTTTCAGAGTTTTCTTGTATTAATATTATTATTTTTTCTTTATTTTGAATGTGTATATTTTAGCTAGTGTAGATATTTTTTAAATTTGTAAAGCTCTTATGGACTCTAAGAAATAAGCGCTATATAAATAAATGATGATCATCATCATCATCATCATCATTATCATCATTATTATCATCATCATCATCGTTATCATCATCATCATCATCATCATCATCATCTGGCGGGACCGAGGACCACCTCACTCACGACTCTCTTGCTTTCAAAAAAATGTTCGTACTCTTTAACTTGGAATATGTGACTGCTTCTTCACTGAACGTTATAAATGATAGAACTCTCTGCCTTGGACGTAATAGGAGTGACACATTGTCTGGTCAATGACAGCGTAAGAAAAAAACCAGCAAACAGTCAAACAGAACACGAGAAATAACTTATTCATTGCAAATACCTTGTTTCCCGTTTAATTGTCGTACTTCTAAGTGTTCATAACGATGTTTTGTTCTTTATATAATTTCTTATTTGATTTGTTCTCGTGTACAGGCGATATCTGAAGGTGATATTGAAGCTCAGTCAAATTCAAAGGGTTCAAAAGCAACCTTAGATCGTAAGTATGCTAAAGTAAAGCCACAGACCCACGGTGCAACATTCTGGGCTATGTTGCAGGCAGTCGAGGTTGCGAGCCATGACACACGATGCAATAGTTCAGTTTTCGTAACACTGTGAAAAAAGCGATGCCGCATGCGTGCCTTACCGTGAACGTGATGTTTTCTAGAATTTTGATTGGCGGATTTTTTATTGCGCATTGTGATTGCCGTGACCATGGCGTGACCGTATCCGCGCCGTGTTTATGCCGTGTTTCGGGCATTCGATTGGACGGAGAATAAATTCTTTTGCAACGTGATTGGTCTGGCGAATGCTCTGCCGTGTCACGATCATGTTCGTGCCGTGAGCTTTTCACAGTCATACGTAAACTTCTCTATGTTGCACCATAGTTAATGGAGCGAAATGGCTTGGAAACTCCATAGAACAAAGCTACTGTTTTGCGTAACTATTTTAACGAGTGTTATTGGCCGTTTATTTCCAGGATCGACCCTTTCAGTAAGAAGTGCAACGTCAACAGAAGAAAACCTGGACCGTGAGCCCATGCCACCAGATAGTTCCATGTTCGTTTTTTCGGATACCAACAGGTTTGTCAACCCAATATGAATAAATTTAATTTCCCAACCAATCATAGTAATATGAATTCTCAGGCGAATGCAATTTGTAATTCTTCCTCTCTTTTCTTTCATTAATTTTTTTCTTTCTCTCTCTTGCTCTCCTTTTTTTCCCTTCCTTTCTTCCTTCCTTCCTTGGTTGCTTGCTTGGCTGCTTACGTGCTTGCTTGGTTGCTTGCTGGTTTGCTGGTTCGCTGGCTTGCTGGCTTGCTGGCTTGCTGGCTTGCTGGCTTGCTGGCTTTCCTTCTTTCTTTCTTTTCTTATAATTCATTATGTTCTTTTGTCAGGTTCCGTATAATGTGCCATAGAATCGCCACCAATATGTACTTCGTTAATTTTATCCTGATACTCATCATCATTAGTAGTGCCTTGTTGGCTGCTGAAGACCCTCTTAATGCCAACTCCGAGAGAAACCAAGTGAGTCTCTCCTGCTTTACTTACTAATATGCAAAGATATTTTAGCTTTGAAATGTCCAGTTTATTGAAGTTTCTCGTTGTAAAACGTTTGACAAAAAAAAAACAACAACAAACAAACAAACAAAACAAAAAATAAAAAAAAACAACACTAAAAACCTGGAGAAAAGACCAAATTCCTGTTTCATACCATGTGTCATTTCCAACAAAGTAAAGCAATTAGACATTTCCGATTTAGCGGCATATGAGCGGAATAGGCATATACTAGCGGAATAAGCATAAACCAGCGGAATAAGGCTAGAATCATTGTTTTGGCCAGAAAATTCAATAAAATAATGAAACAGCTTTCAGTAGACCTGTTTTATTTAACTTAAGGTATTGCACAATTAATATCGTTAACACTACCTGTTTTATTAGCTTAACTGACGAGCAGTGTGCTCGAGAATAAGATCTCGTCCAAACGCAGGTATATAAAAAAGTTGCGTTCATAATATACTAATGTAAATGCTCGCCCTTAAATTTATAAAAGGACTAAGAATGCTAGCATATAATGTAGAATAYCACGACGGTTATTATTTTCGAGAAGTTTTCCTTCTGCATGGACACGTACGTATCGCTAACATATAGTTGATATGTGGATGGCTACTGAGATTGTTCACTGCCTGTAAACACTTGCTTCCCAACTCTGTACCCCCTCCTCTGCGGGGAAAAACAGGATATCATTCAAGTTCTCTGTTAGTTCTTCTACAGTGGAAAAGGCTGTGCACATAGCCAATGCGTTGAAATTCAGGATAAAACAAGATATTTGAGAGATTCAGTAAGAATCTCGTGTTTTCGACAAACATTTGTGTTACGCAAACGAAAAAAGCGTAAAAAGAAGTTGAAAAGTTTTTCAAGAAGCAATAGATAAATAATAAAATAATCTTTGTCTTTGCTGAGAAGGTGCATAAAAGGTACTAGTTAAATTACAGGGAAAGAACAAAAACGTGCTTATGCCGGCCAGGCTCTGCGGTAAGAAAAACGTGATGCTTAATGTTTATTTACTAATAACGTGAACAGAACTCATAAAGCCTATAATGTGCTAGTCTTCATCTGTCGAAGAATCTGTCACGTCAAGACCACGAACTGCCCTCCAGCTTTTTAATGCTTTCTGGTGCTCTCGTGCAGCACTTTGGGCCGCATGAGTAAGCTGTCCAGTTTTTTCTCTCTGGTGACCTGGGAGTTCCTAGATGACTTCAGCTTTTTACTTGACTTTGAGCTTTCCTTGAGAGGTCTTTTCCTGAAAGGATAATAGCAAAATTAACGAGGTTTTATTATCAAATAGGTATGAGCAACGTTCAAAGTAATTCTCTCTGCTTATAAATTACCTGTCTTCCATCCTCTCGCTTTCTCTTGTTTTCTTGATTCGTGTAATGATGTCAGCAGGGTCGTCATTTGGTTCGTTMTTTTCTGCATCTAACACATACTTTGTTTCGCGGTCATTCGCAAATGTCTTCAACTTATTCAGTATCTTTATTACAAGTTTCTTCCTCACTGGATGTGGACGAGTATTCTTCATCAATTATTTTATTTGACGTGCTTGCTTCACTGGCATTCTTAACAGGAAATAAAAGAATCATCACACTCCATATAATACCGTTATTGAGAGTCYTTTCTTCTTTGGTCAACAGCATTCTTACCTTGAAGGAAAAGCGTTGTTAAGCAGTTTAGTAGCTCTCTTCCTTAATCGCTCCTGCAACACTTTGTTGGAATGTCCTTCAGCCAAATACTGATCACCTGCTTCTCCCAAAACCTCAACATGCCTCATAAAACTCAAAACACTTTTCCACTCTCTTCCACATGCTTGCACAGCTTGAAGAAGAAGAGTATCTTCGACTTGAGTGTAGTTTTTCCTTGGTTTTCTTTGCTTGTTGTTGTCCATCACACCTTTCTCGCAGGACTAAGAAAAGTGAAAAGAGCTCTAAAAATTTGCATACATAGGCACGTGCACACGTGCACTGGTCGTAATGTTTTCTTTAAAAATATTTTTGTTTGGTTTCGTGATTGCGAACGCAAAAGTTGCATATATGTTTAATACACTACCTGTTCGCGTCAGTCAACAATGGATGTCCCACCTTTCTCAATGTTTATTGTAGTAATCCTGCTGTCTATCTTTGCAGGTATAAAATTGGGTCTTCAAAGACCACAACGTTTGGTCCCTTTATTTCCTATGCATGTAATATGGAACCTGCTCATCACACTCGTTGCGCTTGTCTCTACGGCACCAACAGGAGCTAATCTCCTAGCCCGACTTTTTGGCAATCAGCTGCTTAAGGTGGCTGGACCCCCTCACGCTTGACCGCTACCTTCCACTTTTGGAACGCTGGTGCATAAACGTGTTTTATCCCATCCCATCGCAAATCTTTTTTGCACATAAGTCAGATAAAGATTGAATTAATGTTTGATGCAGTTTTTGGTGAGATCGGACGTCATAACACGTGATTATGATGAAATATTTGTTTTCGTTTAGAAAATGATTTTAGCCTTGCAGAGCGTTCAACACTAAAATGCTTCGTACCACATATCAAACATACTAGATGCCTCCATTTGTAGGGATTTTTGAAAAATCTATCTAGCTAATTATGAGATATTTGAGATTCTTTAAATATAGTGCATAATCTACTTCAAAACTAAACAATGGATTTCATACGGCCGAAATTAATATTTCAGAGCTATATATTCACAAAAGTCATTGCTCATTTAGTTTTACTCTGTATCTAGTTTTAAAAGGAACATTTTGAAGGTAATCAACTTATGCGATTTTGTGAAAACGGATAGTGCAGAAGACGGGGTAAATATTTGATGCGCACTTTTCATCGCAGTTTTCTAGTCAATCTTACTAGATCTTCCATTATTCTAAAATTCGCTGATCATTTCTCTCAAAACTACGTCAGGATACAAATTAGTACTTAAACTAATATTACACAAAATTGCAAGACTATTGAATACATTTAAAGCGGTCTAAAGCAAACGAAAAACACAGAAAACATTGATCGTCTCCCAACAATTTGATGCTCTGGGAATTCTATTGTTTGCTTATGACGATAACACCAAATTCTTTCGCACCATGCACGGTCTGATCTCGCTTGGCCGCTTTCCGATTTACTCCCGAAGCATGGTAATACACAGTTGTGACAAACGTCCCACGTTTGAATAAATAAAAACGATGCGGAGTCATACAGACGACTTCCTGTTATAGGACATGGAAGAAGAAGGAATCTACCACGACGAGCAAGCCTGCTAGCTGATGGGGGATACGCTAACGCCCCACCTCTTATCACTCCAAGGCGTATTGCTTACAACAAACGACAACAGAATGCCAACAGAGCGCTAAGGTCGCTTCGTATCCATGTAGAGCACGCCATTGGATTCCTGAAAATTTACTCAGCGACCTCGGATATTTTTCGACACATGAGGCCATTTCAACCCTTTGTAATAGCAACTTGTGGTGCTCTTGCTAATCGAAGGAAAAGAATTCTAAAAACACTGTAATGTTATATATGTTCTTTTTGTTATACTTTTCGGAAAAGTAAAACAAACTGGCGTAACACATGTTTATATTAGTGAGAGCAGAAAAATTCCTAGCTTAATACTGTAAACAAATCTCAAGATATGTCGATAATAACTAGCGCTAACTAGTCAGTTGTGACTGTTTTGGTGCGTTGAATACAACAGGTGTATAAGAAAGTTTATAAGTATATGACGTTTCGGACATTAGTTCTTCGTAGTAAGAGGATTGACTAATAAGGACCATTAGTAAGACGAAGGAGTAACGTCAGTACCAATAGTTACAAACTTTCTTACGCAGTTGTTATTTACCTAATAATACATTGTACTAGCTGAGAAAACAGTAAGATAAGGAGTTTTAAAAATTCTATTGGTTAAATCTGGAATAAAATAATGATAGCTCTTTTTAATTTATGTTATTCCGGTCGGATTATAGAATGCGGAATATACTTTCCCTATGCCGCTAAATCGGAAATGTCTAATTCGTTTCATTTTTGTTTACGTTACTGGTGATAATAGAATTAGTGATACGTGATTTAAATAGAAAATCTAACCCTTTTTCTGTGTATATTAGGTGCTGAATTACTTTGACTATTTTTTCACGGCTGCCTTCACCATTGAGATCTCAGTTAAGGTAAATATTTTTTTCTAGATTTTGTCATTGCTATGTGTAAGCTTTAAGTATGCCTATATTATACACCAAATTCAAAAAATCTTTGTCAGGTTGAAAAGGTTCAATCATCGAAGTTTAGACCGAAGAGTGTTCTGAGTAAACACTGATTAATATTATACATATAGAGGCCTTTGCACCATCACGCGATGGTAGCCATGACAGGAGGCACAACAATAGCCTTTCCCCCCTGGGAAACTAAATTTTTCCTCGTGTAAATGAGATTAAACGATATTCAATTGACCCTTTTCAAGTTCCAAATTACCGCTGTGTTTCTTGATTACAGACTCACTCAGGCTTAGCCTCGAATCAGTGTCTAATTACTCGCAAATACCAACGGTAAAGTAAAGAATGCACAACTCCAACAATACGAGCACTTTAAAACTTGACGGACCTTGACTGGAACACGTGAATATTCTTCACAAAATTGAGGATAAGCCTGAGTAAATGAGTTCGTAATCAAGAAACACAGCGGTACTGTGGAACTCGAAAAGGGTCTATTGTCCCTGCCTCCTGTCATGGCTGCAATCACGTGATGTGGCAAAGCCTCTATTGTAGTTTGTGAAGCTCTTTAACATTGATTCAAGTTACCAAACAAAGCATTTCAGTCACTCTTCATGAATGTGTCTGTTTGCAAACACTCTTCAAACGCTCAGGGTATCGACTACCCAGAATACCCCTCGGTCTTGGTTTCGATGATTTGACCTTAATAATGTTTTGTCAGCACTATTTGATATTTTCTCTTAGTATACACCTATTTCAACATACTTTGTCATCGCCAAGGGCGATAGGCGATTTGTTCATTCCGACATGGAAATGGTTTCGTTGAATACAAACAACATTGAATCAGTCTCAACACTAAGGTCCATGTTCTTGACGAGAATAAGAAGCAGGAACACAAGTCATTCCAGCAATTCTTGGATCTTGGAATGACCTATGTCCTATAGCTTTTCGTTTATCGCCTATTGCTTATCGCCTTTGGCGAAGACAACGTTTTTTGAAATAGGTGTATACCTATATTTTCATTCGGTATTGATAACGATCTAATTATTTCCCCAGATGGTCGCCTATGGTGTGTTTCTTCATAAAGGCTCGTTCTGTCGTAGTGCCTTCAACCTACTTGATTTCCTGGTCGTTGCAGTATCTATTCTGTCTATTGCTCTAAGGTATCAATCAATACTAATTCAATGCGTTAAATGACCCATTCGATCAAATCTAGGCTGTCTGCAATAAATCGTTCGAAGGAATCAATGAGTTGTATTCTCTAATGGACTACTTCGATGATACGGCGGCCATCTTACCAGGAGGCAAAACAAAACAAAAATGACGGAAAATATAAAGAGTTTCATGTGTTTGTCTTTCTTTTATGGATAAAGGTGATCGATGTGTCGTCTTAATTCATCTTTTGTTGTATTCTCTTGTGGTGAGCTGATAATATCAATCGACGTCATTTCTGTAACAAAGCTTTATTTGCCCACTGAATGCCCGATGATGCCTTGAGATCCAAGATGGCCGCCGTATCGTCAAAGTAGTCCATTGTGCTATTCAGTTTGTTTTTGTTTTGTTTTTTTTAATTTTTATTTTTTTATTTTTTTTTTATTTTATTTTTTTATTTTTTTTAATGAAAAATTGACTTCATTCAGTTCAACTGCCGTGGGTAAAAATGTCTGTTGAAAGCATGCAACAACTGTGTCGATCATATTCGTAGCAAGTTGCAACACGTCACTCATGTTATGGACTGGCTTAACTAGCAAAAAAGCACCAGTAATAAGCGACATCGTTATTTATGTGTCTGTTTATCCGCAGAGGGTCTAAGTCATCGCAGATCTCGACAGTGCGAATTCTCAGGGTCCTGAGGGTCCTTCGTCCATTGAGGGCCATCAACAGAGCCAAGGGACTCAAGGTAATCTTTTTTTTTTTTTCTTTTTTTTTT